GTGAAGTTGTCGCGGCTTGGCTAGCTTGCCGTCACGACCGACTGGGGTGTTCGTTCGACGCAAATGCGACAATGTGGAGGCGTATGTGTATCGGTTCAACACCTGGGACACACCAGCCTTGGCGGAAGCGGCCTTCTTCTGGTCACCCCAGTTACCTGTTGCCAGGGAGTACTTCAGACCGTTTGTGATGATGCTGGCCTTGACAGCCATCTGAACGTTGAAGTCCTGGTTGTTCTCAACGCATCGCTGGAGGTACTTGTACACGTCCTTGGTGAGCTTCAGGAAGAGAATACGGAACAAGTTGGCAACCAGAGGTCCAGCGAGATCCAGACGCTTTTTACCGAAGTGATCACGATCGTCCTCGTCGCGGCGACCCAGCACACACTGCAAAAGGCGGTGGATCATGTAACCAAAGAAGTAGGCCTTGCGCGTGTCCTGACCTTCCTTTTGGGAAATATGCGGCAAGAATTCTCGCTGCATAATGTCCCTCGCGAACTTGAGACGCCTGTCCTTCGTGCCTGAATTGGCGCCACGCTTGGCAATGAAGTCCAGAGCAGTCTCTCGGTCCTGAACAACAGATCCCTCCTCGATACTGGGCTTCAACAGCTCCAGCATTTGTGTGTCGGTGCGGTCGTAAACGATGTGACTGAGAATCTCCTCATCGGAGACAATACCGAGCGCGCGGAAGACGATGGCCATGGGCACATCCGCCTTGATGTATGGGAGGGTAGCGTATGCGAAGGGACCGGGGATACGTTTTCCGGGACCTGCGAGTGAGTTCTCCGCCCACTTGATGTTGAACGATGAGATCAACCGGGTGCCCTTCTCGACCGCACTTCGAATCTCAGCGATCCATGGAATAGGACCCTGCTTCTTTCGGAAGACCTGTACAATGTTCGCGGCACTGCGCTCCTGAGCGATGAGGACTTTCTCACTTCCGTTGATGACGAAGTATCCACCCTGATCGTAAGGGCACTCGTTCAGAGCGAACAGGTCCGCGTCAGACTGCGCTCGCAAATGGCAGAGCTCTGACCGCAACATGACAGGAAGCTTTCCGATGAAGACTCGCGCCGCAGCGCCATCATCCATTGGCATGTCTTCACGCTCCCACCGGATCTGCGATGGTCCGCCTGTGTAGCCACCCTCCATCTCCTCGTCATCGCCCTCCTCTGGTTCGCGTCCCTCACGGGCGACCATTATTCGGTTCTCGATATCGGCCAACATGGCACCGGAGTAGGTGAGATTCCGTAAACGCGCTTCGTGAGGGTAAAGTTGCACCGTGGTGCCGTCGCCTTCTGTGTGTGTTGGCCGCGCCAGGTAGACGCGCCCGAATTTAATTTCATAGCGGCGCTTGATGATGGGGTTCTCCTCCTCATCGGGGTTGTAGGGCGTATTTTGCTCGAGAATGACGCTGCCGTTTTCTTTTACAATATCCTGGATTGTGTTGCGCGTGAATTCGTCGTAGGAGTCGAGCTGCTGCGAGACCAGACCCTTGGTGTCGAAGAAGGAGCTGATGACCGCCCAGCAGTCCTCGGGCAAGACGCGGTTCTCCTCATCCTCATACTCGTCCTCCATACCGTCGTAGTCGTACGGCTCGGCCATGATCGCGACTGGGTTGATTAGGCGCGGGGAGGTGAAGGGGGGTGGGTGAGTGCGGACGTGTAGTGTCCTGTCTGTTCGGTATGCGACGGCGGCGACCGCCTCTCAAAGGACGTTCGGTGCTAACGCTCCCCGTCTTAGCGTGGCCGCGCATCACGTGATGACCACTAGCGTCCAGACCCCATGCAGTCTACCCGTGTCTTCCAGTTCCTGCATCCATCCTATCCCGCGGCAACTTGCATCCCATTTCTAGATCCCGCCATTCGGGCCCAGATTACACTCGGCTCACCTTGGACAATACTATATTCGCACTATACTGAACTGTCTCGAAGTTGGAGGCCTTAAACGCCAGCACTAGATCCTCGTGTCTCCAATCACTGGCGGCCGGACGCTTTCCGGTGTCGACAATTGGCAAACAGGTCTACATACCGCCGACAAGCCACAGATGAGATCTAGCCCTGTGGTCGCGACAGCATTCATTTTTCAAACCTATTCGGGATGCATTGTTTTATGCCCTAATGCGAAATGTACTCCATATGTCGATCAGTACACTCTGGGCAGTGCGCCATGGCTCAAGAAGGCTGAAATGGCTGGCTGAACAAAGAGAAGGAATTACGCTGCACGGTCACCCGGCGATGTCAGGGTCGAGACCGGCATGATGGGCTCTAATGTCAGTTATATAAAGTAAGCTATGATTTCGCGGAAGGAAGCCTCCAGAATTCAGCACCCTCACATCCGCCGACTACCATTATGCATCTCGTTTCCAATTTATACGTCGGCGCTCTTCTGCTTGCAAGCGAGGTTGGTGCAGCTGCCACCACGAAGTCCTTCGTCACTTGCATTACCAAAAATGGCCCTAAGCCGGTCGCTACTGTGAAGACAGCATCCCGCATCTTGACTGTACCATTTTATGGCTTCAAATTCACCACGACGACGCCTACCCGAGTCATCACACCTCCACCAACTACTACAACAGTCACAGTCACAGCGACCAGTGTCACAACCGAAACTTCGACTCAAGAGACCGATACGTTTTCTGAGACAGTCACAACTACCGACACGATTATTACAACGTCCACAGATCTCTCCAGCACGACAAGCTCCACCATTGTTACAGTCACACTTTCTCCAGTAACTACTGTGGCGGCCCCTGCAGGTTTCCAGCCTGTCCAATCAACCTTCCCCAACCCTGCCAAGCGAAGATCCAACTACCCAACAGAAGATGTATCGAACGGATCCGTACTTGAAGAGCGAGCACAGGGAGAAACACGCCTCTTCTTCAAAGACGGAAAGGCACAGTGCTCACCTGTCGTTTATCCCACAGCGGTAACCTGTGCCGGTGTTGTAAAAGTAATTACCACGTCCACTATCACCCGAACCGCGAAGACAAAGACGGTAACGGCATCGAAGCCTACCTCTTCGGCCACTACCACAACCACCTCTATTACAACAACTACCTTAACACCCATCCGCGCATCAACGACCCTTTCTTTCATAACCGGCACAATCACCACACAAACCCAAGTCGAATCCACTACGACCACCTCAGTTGCTACTCAAACGATTGAAGTTGTACAGCCGAGTTCTACTTACTACGCTGCCTGTAGCCCTGATAATATCGCTAGCAAGGTTGAAGGCACTTTCATTGCCGGGATCGGCTTCAACTCCGGTACTCAAGGCCAGGGAGTGCAGTCCCTAAGTGCTACAACCCCGTATGAGTGCTGCGTCAACTGCATCAATGCGCCTGGATGTGCTGGGTCTATATACATTACAAGTACCGGTCAGTGCCTTTCGATAATTCAGCCACCTGGGATCTGTAGTCCCGATGCTATGGGGGGCCGACTCTCTTCACGAGGGCAATCGGAAACCTTCTCTGTGAGCAATGGGCTTTGTGGGAGATATTACAAATGAATAACTGCACTATTTCTTACAGCTTTGTTGTACTTGTACACAGATTTAATCTACAAAGAAAAGATTCTCCGCCTACCTGCGGCAACCACCAGCTCAGACCATAGTCTTAGGCTTAGTAGCCTAGAAACGAGCTGCGGCTATAGATTTTATTAAATTGCTACAAGACATCTCCAACCAGAACCACGAGACTCTAGTGATAGGTATTATATGTCATGACCTAGAAGTAGGCACAGTGAGCAAGCACTCTGGACGTCATATTGACATTCAAGCGAACGCTTTTTGATCATCTGTATTTACGAAGCATTCATTAGTTGTCTTTACCTCTGAACGACTACAAACTTCGTATCGAGCCCCCTTCGCTGCCTGCAAGCCTTGTGATACACTTAGTATTGCGTAACAAGGTGAAGACAGCCTGGTTGTCATTTAGAGTTACACTACAATATCACCCTTCGTACCTCAAAACGCTCTCGTGACTTTCCAAGATACAAGAATATAGCCCCGTTGCCAGTCTTATCCCGAATCATCTCAATACATCCCATGATACACAGCCATTCTATCCAACACCTCAATCTCCAGGTCCACCCCCGCCTTAGCGAAAGCCTCGCTCACCACCTCCGGTAGTATAAGCTTGCAACTCGGCCAGCTGCCACGCTCCTGCTTCCAACAATCACCTCCATCATGAGCGCAAAGGCTCTCGCTCATTCGAACTCGGCGCAAGCTGCGCAGTTGAAGCAAAGCTAGTATCCATCCAAACCACTTAATCCTCTCCAGTTCAGACAGCTCCTGGAATTGCCGCATCTTCGTCCCACCCGTGGCGAATATACCAGATGGGTATCTGAACCAGATTTCTAGTTCGCGTAACTTCGGTGGTAAGAGAGTCGTGATATCGCTCCTGAGCTCAAAGCCCGCGCGGTTGGGATTCGCTTTCAGGCTACCGCATGACATTTCCTCGAAAAACGCGAAAGCCGGCACATGCAGAACCTGCAAGGCGGTAAAATTGGTGAATCTAGTTGGGCTCCAAGGTCTCTGCGGTACTTCGTAGCATATGCCAGGCAGAATAGTGAGTTCTCGTAGCGTCTGTTGAGTCGCCCATAAATTAGCGATGCTGCCATCTAGGCCGAGTGTGGGCGCGCCGTCGAGGTACCATGTGAAGCGCAATTTCTCCAGTTGACTAGCAGTGCCAGCTTTCTTCACAGCAGCACGTCCATTGTGTATTGATGGATATGTACACCATTTGTAGTCGATGGAGGTGAGATTTCTGAAGTTGACTGTGTCAAACCATTGGATGGAGGGCGCGGTCCAATACCCGAGCGCTGCGTGCGTGATATTCTCTCGTACGACTAGTGTTTTGGCGGTGGGCAGACCGAAGAGCCAAGTTGACATGGCTAAGTGATGCTCGGGACAATCTATGCTGATAGGTGTGGTAGTATGATCTCTCAGCCTGTGTTTGACGTTAGCTCCTTGCCGACAATCACGTTTGGTCAGTAATCTTACATTTGAGCAATCTCGGATGATGCGTCCATTTGCTCAAACGTTGATCGCGCATCGTCCAAGATAAAGATAGTCAACTTTTGTAGATTCGCAAGTTTGGCGAGGATCTCCCGAATCGCGTCTCGTTCGAGGGATAGTTTGCCATATGGGTACGCGCCTTCGAGCTGGCAATCGATTTGTAACGTTTGTACTGAGTCGGCGAGGTGCGGGGCGGCTGTGAGCGCGCTCAAGAGCATCGAGCAGCGTCCATCATGAACTGGAGTATGTTGCACAGGTACTCGGATGTCGCGGTAGAGAAGTTGCTGGGCTGATGCTCTGAAGCTGCGGTGTGTCTATCAAGCTGTTAGCACGAATAATAAGATGTCTTAGAGCCACGTTAGCAAAGTATAGCAAGGGGGCTATATACTAGTAATAAGTTAGCAAGATATCTTAAGAGCTATTTGTGGCGGCTACTTTACCCTTGATTAGAGCAAGCCAGGCATCCTTGTTGGCGAGGTAGGCGAAGATCTTGTCCAATGTCTCGTTGGCGAAAGTTGTAATCTTCGATTGAGACATGATGTGTTATAGAAGGTCACAAAGTGTTCGACTCTACTGAAGTTCCGGGTGTTGATAATGCGAGCCTTTTAGATGTGGAAGCAGGTGGGGATTAGAGTGCGCGGTGGCCGAGTTAGACTGGTGGTGTCTATAGCGTGGATCCGGCAGTGATTGGCAATGTGAAGACCACCATTTTGCAGACCGTGCATAGAGTCCAAGAGCGTGAAACTCCTCCTCATTCAAGCGATCCACATGTCTCGACAATCTCCCTTGCTCTTCTCCCAAAGCTCACCCTTCATGATTCCATGAACATAAGCGTCACCTATGAACTCCCACGTACCTTCACCTTCCCGCAGTATGAGCGGGGTCATAACGCCACCAACTAGCACAACGTGATCTCCAAGCCGACATATACTCGGTACTAGAGCATGATAGGCCGTTTTAGAGTCTCCAAGAGCGACCATCCGCGCGCCCTTGCGGTTACCTATATGACCCGCCATAGACCTGAACTGCGCTTCAGGATTGACCCAGCCAAAGCGGCGAAACACACGCTCGACCAGAACTACCATTTTGTAGCAAATCAAGAAGCGATGGATGTTCAGTTTTTGAAACAGCCGCAAGAGTTTTTGGCGTTTCTCGAACGCTCCATAGGCGCTTCTCTTAACTTCTGGTGTATTCTGTGTCTCGCCGGCCATGAACGTCTCGTACATAGCTTCCGTCGCGTTCTCGCCTGTCGCAGAGTAGACTTGTTTGGCGTTCTGGGGTCGGAACAGGGCCTCCCATTCATAGATTTGTTGCATGTTGAACTGTAGTAGCTTGGCTTGTTCGAACAAAGACTGGCGAAGTGGGGCTTTCTGCATTGTCCAACGGCGTGGTGTGAGTTGTGTGACACTCGCTACCGCAACTCCAGAAAGAATCAGCGTCTTGGGCAAGTCTTTCAAATGCCTGGCTTGGCCTTGTGGTGAGTTGTACGCCTCGAGGTCGAAGCGAGCTTCGAATTTAGAGTCGTTTGAAGCATGGTAGTCCCGCGTTGTATTGGTATCGCCGGCGAGCATTTCGGTCCTGACTAGCGACATTGGTGTTGCTTCTGTCCAACGCCAGTCTGGTACCCAGGATGGGAGTGTGATCTGCTTGAAGTCGGGGTCGTTTTCTTCCTTGGAGGTGGTAGTGAGACGAGGCACATGCAGGATCGCTGCTTGCCTGTTTTGAAGCGTGCGCGCAGCCAGTTGAGTGTACAATATATCCGTCGTGAATTTCTTGTCGTAGTTTGGCTTGATTTCGAGCTTATCCAGTGCCTTCTTACAACTCATACCATAGAAAGCGTAAATCTTGTCTTTGGGATCCTTGGCAAGACATACTCGATGCCTTAGCAGCGTCCCAGGCCAATCGAGATCGACGCCACTTGTCCATTCCATCTCGCTGAGCTTCATGAGGATGACGTTACTTACCCTGGCTCCTTGGTAAAACTCCCACAGCCACAGCTGAGTCGTCATTAGATACAAATACGCAGCTTGTAGCGATTGCCAGGGTATCTTGGCGCTTCCACACATGAACCACACCTGGCTAGAAACAACGACTTCTTGCATGATCCAAGACCGCTCGAAGTAAGGCCGATCCAAGAGTCTCAGCAACGTCTCAAGTGCTGGATCGCCTACTTTGACTTTGACGCGCACATCTTCCTCTTTCTCTTCTTCCGGAGTCAGTTCAATGTGCTTCTGTTCCGCCAACTCTCGTCTGAAGGTCGTATGCAGCCCAGAAGCATATTTGAAAGCTGCTTCTATTCCCTCGTCTCCCAAACCCAGCCAGCTCACAGTAACAGAAGCCTTCATGTATATTTGTCGCATCTTTGGTACCTGCGCAGTCCTCTCAACTGTATCTTTCTGGTTCAAGCACACGCTGTCGACCCACAGGGTGCGTGCTTTCAGCCAACCCCATTGACGGATCTCGTATAGCAACGGGATCAAAGTTCTGGGTATATTTAGAGTATTGTCATTATCCAGATCACGAGGTGGGGCCGCGTTGGTAATATGAATGGTAGCTTCGTGTGGCTCAGGGCCCCAGCAGTAGGAGAGAGCATAGAACTTTGGGGCTTCCGACAACAATGTTGTGTACAGTCGACCGGTAATGGGGCCACTTGGAGGACCCCTGTGAACTTCCAGCAATCGTATGTATACATCCTCTGAGTTGTAGAGAGTCGGAAGTGGTTGATATTGATATGGCATGTTTGTGTGCCAAAAGAGACCGATGAATTTGGATAGACCCCGGAATTGCTGGACATTTCCGGCATTGAAGGTACATGCCTTCAGATATACCTAATTCGCGCGTCGAAGACCGGACGTGTTACATCTATTGCACTCCCTTGGGGGCGCCATCTTCAAGATAAGACCTGCCCAGACCTGCCCAAAAACGCCATATCTTCAGCTGGCTCGTTTGTGCACAAAATTGAGAGACGCGAGGCCAGATGAAGATGCGCATTTGCGGCTGAAGTCTGCAAGGCTAAACGGAGGCCATGTCATTCGCGCGTTCGGATCCTCGATCCGGCCATTGGAGCATACTAGTTCACCTGTATGTTCAGCTGGTGTGATGTTGTGTCGTGATTAGTCCGGCACGACATGATATTCTTCAAGAAAGCGGGCGTGTACCTCCCTGTCGAATGCAGGGTCTTCGCATAGCTAGTTATGTGGCTTTGCGCGGCGCGTAGGCGAAACGGTACGTGGCGGATGAGGTTTGCGTGTTGCTTGCGTGCTTGCTTACGAAGAAGCTCGTTTATTCCGTGCCAGGCCCTAGACCGCATTCAGCGTAGCGCTCGTGCTGGGGAAATCTTCCCGAGGTCGTCCAAAAGGAATCTCACGCACTCGAATGACCACGACGCCCATACCAAGAAATGCGTAACAAAATGCTTATCGCGAGCAGAACTCCAGTTTACAAGATCTGCTACCCCACAAGTGATGGGCGTGGTGTGGGCCCTGGCGCCCACCTGCTGTCTCCACCTGGAGCACCGATCCTTCACACCCTCACATGGCCCGACTGCTAGCGCCATCGTCCCACCCAAGAGTTCTTGTTCTCCCGTGGATCGAGGTTTATAAGGTTGCGCAGCATGTTACAACGCGGGCGCCTTGCCCTCCATAAAGTTTGTCGGCCCTTTCAGCTCTCGACCCCGCGTCACAAGAGCACGCCGATGAAACCTGGTTGGCCAACTTTAAGAGCTCTGCCCTTGGCTCAGGAATGGAGCACGCTGAGAGGAGCGACGCATCAAGGGTAGATAGGCCAAGCCCGCATTGGGTGTATCGAGCTGCAGAGCCAGTCTTGGGCTTCATCTGACGATGATGTAGCTACTTTTAAGGTTGGGTCTTCTTCTGTCTCTGCGAATCCGCCTTCCTCCGAGCTGCGCGCTCAAACGTGAACACTGCTTTCCTATCTACCCATCTCGTGGTCCTCGAGCCATACATTCCGTTACTCCGGGGTCACCACATGCGCGCAGTCGGTGATTGCGACACCCTTGGTATGCACGCAGCTTGAATCGGTCGACAAAGGAAATCCAATCCGCGGCATATTCGCAACACCTCGAAGCGCGCTCAAGATTTCGCTTTCTCTCTTCTCTCTGTGTTGGATATACCCTATCAGTCTTATTATTATGTCAAACAACACTGAAGAAGAGACGTCGCCGGCGAGTGTAAAGAGTGGTACGATCGTCATCGCGATCATCGTGCCCTCGGTCTTGATCATTTTACTTCTTACGCTGGTCATCATGTCAGTCTCCGCACTGGTGTCAGAGAACCTCATGCATGTCTAAGCTGACGATAGGAACCGCCGCAGGGGCTTCATTCTCCCACGATGCGTCCGCGATGAATCTACTCACAAAGAGAAGCGCTGGAAGACGCGGCAAGACGAGCTGGAGACGCACATCAAATCACAAAATTTCTATGATTGGCTCGAAAGTCAAAAGGAAAAGTCTTCCGACTTATCGCAAGCATCCGATCCTCTGTGGTAAGTATGCGAGACAAGTCCTATTCGACGGGTGGACTGGACTGACTGTAAAACAGCGCCATCTGTCTTGACGATTTCGCGGAAGATGCGCAGGTTCGGGGCCTCCGCTGCTCTCATGCTTTCCACTCGCATTGCCTCGACGAGTGGTTCACAAGGTACAATGAGTACTGTCCCTTGTGCCATCGACCGATAATACCCGGGTCTCGGGCAGCAAGAAGAAAAGTCCGCGAAGGGATGGATCCAACCATTCCGGTAGTCTTAATGGTATAACTGCTGCAATGGGCAATGAGACACACAGTTCAAGCTTCGTGAGGCTCTCGAATCTTCTGAAGATGATGCACATCACTACCAGATCTTGGCATAGGCTGCTTTGGCCAATCGAGAGCGACCACATCCGCGAACAGGCGGACCAGACCTCAGATCGAAGAGCCCGGAGCGATGCACAGCCAGGGCTTAGACGCAGCGGAGACGGGTTTAACAACGGGTTTCTAGTTGCTTCGCCTACACGGGAGCATCCGCGCCACAGCCGCGTACGGCTAACGGACGGTTCTCCAGTACCTGCCTTTTTAATTTTGAAAATGCCAGGGTCGGTCGAGCGGTCGGGCGGAGACTATGAAGAAGTGGGTCAATATCCTCAACTCAAGACACTATGCGTCTTAGGAAGAGCAATGGCCTTCCGCTCAAGCGTAATGATAGCACCACACCGACGAGAGGAAATAATTCGATGGTGATAATCTAGGGACATGGATAACTAAAGTCCCAGGATATAGGGGAGTAGAGCTTAGTCTACGGGTGACCTCTAGATGCCCGGCATTTCCTTGTCTTGGCGAAATAGTCCTCGCTATATCGATTCGAATAGATACACCAAACGAGTTTTGAACCTCTCGCGAAGACTATTTGTGTGCTTTCACTTCCCCTGCAAACAGAGAGGGCATACAGGCTTGGTCTTTATAGCATAGGCGCATGTTGAGATGCGGCTGCTATTAGTGGGGCAGCCGAGGCCGCTAACGGGAGTGTCGTTGGCTCCCGCTCTA